TTCAGCAGGGAGATTATGAGAGCAAAATGGAAACTGTGCTTTGTCATTGTTAAAAGAGTTGTCAAAGAGCAGAGATCAGGTGCCCTGTTTCAGTACTGTTTAAATCTGCAGGCTTGTTTTTCTCATGGTGACTGATCGAGACCAATGTAATACTAGCAGTGGGCCACTTAAAGATCTGAATTTTAATATTGCTTAGTGAACTTGGTTAACCTCCTTATCAAATGTTGCAAAGTCCAAAATGGCAGAATGGAAGAGATAGGAAACTTTTGTCTCGACATACTCTTATTTTAGAAGTTATATAGATTAGTGGACAGTTATGGTGGTCACGTATCCTATTTGATCATAATTAATATACAGTACTATAAAGTGGAAAAGATGACAACTCCATTCTATCAAATAAAGGCACAATTGTGGGGTTGCAGAGAGAAAAATGGGAATTGCCCTCTGCAGCTAAAGGCCTACCGTGATTCTGCAGTTTTTCATTTCTGTCTTTACTAAATGAAATGGAATGTTAGAAGGCCAGGGAAGGAGATAGAATGGTATGTTCTACCTTCAAAACCCCAATTCCATAAATATGTCAGCCCATTTAAAATGTAATATCTTGGAATAGAAAGGGCATCCTTGTAGGTGTGGCAATTTTAACAGCGGCTCAAAAAGCTACATTGTGCAAAGGATTTGCACCAACAATGGCCAAAATTGAATTTGACACAAGCATTACATGTTCTCCACATTACATTTTGCCCCTCCCCTTCCCAGAAAGTTGAACTAACTCTCCATACTGCAAAAGATATCTGGTAAGTTCACCTTAGAAAAAGTAGTGTGATAAATAAATAAAATGAAAACAAGCATGATTAAAAGCATCTTTTATCCAATCTTTATAGCTAGTTACATGTTCCATTTGGTTGGTTGGTTTAGTCAAGCTAAATCCAGCTCTGAACCTTATAATTGTGCATTTGTGTGTTAGGCTGGGATTGGAAGTTAAATTAAAATAGGATTATAATCCAACACAGACATTGGATTTAAATCAAGTTTAAGGAAATGAAGTTATTGAGATTCTTAATTAAGAATTAATTTAAAATCCCAATAAATTTAATTTCTTAACTTAAGAATTAATTAAAAATAGTAGGAAAAAATGTCAGCCAGTTTTATACAGTTAAGTATTTGTACCATTGAACTTGTATTCCCTTTATTCTTTTTATAACACTTACAATTATAATAAACACAATTTTCTTTTTAAAATAAATGACCAAACTTGGGGTTCCTCTTCTTATCTTTTCCATTTCTTGGAAATTCAAGGAGGGAGGAAGGGAGAAAGAGAAGGAGAGAGAGAGAGAGGGAGAGGGAGGGAGGGAGGGAGAGAGAGAGAGAGAGAGAGAGAGAATGACTTCTGGCAGTAACTTATTCAGATAAATATGTCAAATGTTTAGAGACAGAATTGTTTAGAATAGTGCTTTGGCTATTAAAATATTGTATTAAATATAATATAAAATATAGGACAAATACATTCATCATATAAAATTTGTTGTGTTAATACAGAAAAAATATTATATATATAATATAATATATTCTATTATTCTATTCTATTATTCTATTCCATTTTATTCTATTCTATTATAATATAACTTATTCTATTATAATATAACATTATATTATATACATATATATATATTATACATTATATACATTTTCTCCCTTAGGCTGATATCACAAACTATATGACAGATGGGTCAAGTCCTGATTTGTAGTATTGTAACATTTGGAATAGCAAAGTAACATATTTGATAGAACTGGCAAATTTTTATATATGATTCAACCCAGAGTATAAAAGACACTAGAATTCTAAGTGGAAAATAACAAGCTGGAAACTATCAGATACCACACATTTTAAGGGGGGGAGGTGAGAGATCTGAGTACATATTTAAATTGCACTTAGAATTTTTTAGCTATGTCTTCAGCCCAAATTTGTGTTATTATTATTATTTTTTAAATCTCGGTATCTGCAAAATAATTTATTTGAGGAAGTTCCTTCCTTTTTTTCCCCAACTAATAATACTGACTATGTCTGGAAGCAATCTATAGAGAAAATATTTCTTCCTATATGGAAGAAAAAGGCTGGCAATGCTACTTCACATTTGACACATGCAGATTAAAAAAAAACTAATTGACTGTACTAAAATCCTGCTTTTTGCACTTGGCTACATGAAATCACAATTAGCATTCACGCTGAATTTTAAGGATCTTAGATTGTGAACTTTCCTCGTATAGTGGAATCTGTTAACTTGAGATAAAAATGTTTGTTGTCATAATTGTGTAGTACTTGAGTTGACGATAAGCAAAACAGCAGCTCTTCCATGTGTACTTTTATCATTTTCTGCTTACTTTTCCCTCAAAGTTACCATCTTTTTTTTGTCACTGTTTATGAAATCACGTGTGTCTTTATTTTTGCTGTCTTTTCAACATCATTCGCAAACAGCTCGATTGTCAGCGCCCAAACCTCCAGTTGGGCCCACTCCATCTATTAATACACAGGCTAACATGATCAATCAGATGCTGAAAGCCATACCTAAGCAAGAATCAAGTACTGTAAAAAGAAGTTTCTTTTTTTTCTTAATTCAACAAATTGCTAGCTTAGTCATTTCCTATTTAATTTACCGTAGTGTAGCTTCTATGAAACTAGTTCCCGCTGTAAGCTTTTATCCAGAAATGGCTAGCGCAACGCTTTTAGAAATAGCTTTGGTTTCAAAATGTCCACATTTTCTGTCTAGCAATGTCTGACATATGCAACATTTTCAAATATCAACGTCAGCACAAAATAACATTGTTGTTGCATAACATTTTGCATGAAAACTGTGAATTTGTATGATTTTCAATGATGTATGAAGTTATTGAAAACTCTGTTGTTTCATTGAGCAGTGCTCCAGATACTTTTCGTACAAGGCGATAAATTGAAGGAGTTATCTCAAAAAAAAAATTATTAAAAAGAAAATCAAGTACGGGATGGATTTACATTTTACCTGGAGACAGAATCTTGCATATCACTTGTTATAAAATGTTTAGTACATATTCCCTCCACAAGTTAAAGGGTGCCCAAGGTCTAGTAATTAGCATAGCACAAATTGGGTAGCAAGCCAAAAAGTATTGGAAGATTGTTGTCGGAACTGTTCCTTCCTTCCATTTTTCCTTTTCTTTCTGCCTCATAAAAATGCTTTCTATTGGATTATTCACACAATCTACATAACAGGAACAGAATGCTTTTCATTTTCTCTTTGTTAGTTTTTTAGAAGAGGTAAAAGAAGGACCCACAAATGGACTATCACTTTTGAATCAAATCTATGCAGGAAGCGTGGTCAGGTGCATTGATCCTTTCTAGCTGAATTTGGATAAAATCACTTGGATCTAATAAACCACTAATTGCTAGACAATTGTGATTCTGTGGACTTTTGTCAAAAGCCTGAATTGGACACTTAAGTTGTGACTCAGTCCATCAGTTTCTGATTGACTAAGCCAGCAAACTTTCATTAATTCTGGTGCACATGATCAGTTCCTGGTTTCTTAGTCTAATAAGCAACAATTCTGCAATACTTTTGAAGCTTGGTTACTAATTATGGAAGACTTCAATATGACACAAGGAAGGAGATAGGCAAGCACTCTCATATGTCTGAAATTGCTTGCAGTAGACTGATTAAGCAAATTTCAACAATAGCAATAATAATAATCTGTATTTATGAAGCATCTTTAACAAGTACATTACAATTCAAGGAAACACAGTGATTAGAAACTTCCATCCAATAAAATGTTGGGGGCATATATAAAATAGGAATCAAACTAAGGAATTGATAACATTAATAAGAATTAAATGGGTGAAAGAGATGCCATAATCATATACTAGTAAAAAAAAAAAAAAAAAGAGGGGGTATCTTTTAATGCCTTTTAAAAGCCATCAGGTTTTGACAGAGGTCAAGGAAAGGAGAAAGCTTATTATACTATCATATGGCCAGGTTCCTGAAAACTAGAAGTTGGTGACAGACATCCTGGAGTGGAATGTAGAAAGAAAAGGTTGTGTGCTTATACTTTTCTCCTCTAAAAAAAGCCACATTGAATACAAATTTATGTTTACATGTGACTTTAAGCTGAGTCCTCTTTTTTTTTAGAAAGCCAGAACATTGAAATAGGACTCCACAAATCTCCCTATGGACTAAACACACAATACAAATTTAATGTTAACAGTTTTATTAGATGCAATGTGGCATGGTGTTGTTTTATTGTGGATATTGTTTTAATTTTTGATTGGGACTTGCCCAGATTTTAATATAAGGTGGGCAATTATAAATGTTTAAAATAAAGAAGGAAGGAAAGAAGGGAGGGAGGGAGGGAGGGAGGGAGGGAGGGAGGAAGGAAGGAAGGAAGGAAGGAAGGAAGGAAGGAAGGAAGGAAGGAAGGAAGGAAGGAAGGAAGGAAGGAAAATAATATGATTCATCTATCCCTAATGAATAATTGATCTGGCTTTTGGAGAACGTCAAAAAAAAAAAACTTGTAAAATAGGGTGAGTTCATTTTAATCTGCCACTTCAATCTTACTAATTCTTAGATAATTTTATACAATACACACATTGTGAAAATATTTCAAATCTAGAGCACAGATATATGTATGTATCAATTGTTAAATTAAATATTCCTAATGTATTCCTAATAGAAAGATACTGTCTCTAGGAAACGTATATTTCTCACTTTCCATTAAATACTTGCTATCAATGCAAAGGAAGGCAGCCTTTACATATCTTTTAAATTCAATGTTGGAGCACTGTTTTCTTAATATAACAACAAATGTTGCTTCATAGTTTGCTCAGTACTAACTATATAGCATTTTAATCCTTGCATGATGTAGATTTTTTTTTCAGATTGCAATTATTTTAAAAAAAATGAATTAACTACCGAATCAATTGGCCTTATATTGAGCTTCTTCTGTCTCACTCCATTTTAATACAAGTTCTTGTACTGCAGAAAATGTAGGTCGGTTAATCACGCCTGCCAAAAAACTAGAAGATACAATTCGCTTGGCGGAATTGGTGATTGAAGTTCTGCAGCAAAATGAAGAACATCATGCAGAGGTGAGCAGCAGGATGCTAAAAATTTTCCAATCAAGACCTGTTAGAGCAAGTGCACACCTGTGCAAATTGCAGGCATAATGCTTTATGTCCTAGGTAAACCTTATGTAAGACAATCCATTCTTTTCTCGAAATATCTCTGCATTTCAGTAAATACAACTTTGCAAGGAAATACATTTGAAAGATGTATTCAGGTAACAGGCACAATGCAAACTCATTGTGATTGCGATTTTATCAAGAAAATTTATCTCATGTGGGACCCTTCAGAACTGGTGTTCCAAAGGACAGCTTCAATATTAGCTTTCACAGAAGACTGCTAATTTACACAAATTTACATTGTGTAAAAATGTTGCGCTAGAATACAGTGTCTTCTTGGCTTTATACAAAAGTCTCATCATCTTATTCTATGGAGAATATTGTCTTCTTGAATAATCACCATTTCTAGATTTAGCTTTTCATGATAGTTGTATGCACTTATCCATGACTGATAATGATGCAGATTTTGGCTACATGCTTTTAACAGCTGAATAATTACAATGTAAAAGTTATGAAACCTCCAGATATTTTTTACCCTGAAAACACTTAGCAAAGTCAGAAATCCCAGTGCTGTAGGCTAGATAGAAGTTAAAAAAGAAAGAAGGCAATGGCAAAATATGTCCAAAATATGCCAAAAAGTCTACATGGAAATCACTAGAAGTCAAAATGATATTTTTTTTCTTTTAATTTCAGGGGAGATATTGCAGGAGATTATAAAGTCATATATTGACATATGAAAAGGGAAGTTAGAGCCCTTCCCAAGAAATAAAGCATCAGAGAGCTGCTACTTCAAGGTGTCCCAAAGCTGCTTTTCCAAAAGGCAACTGAACATTCTTGGGGGTTTTTTCCCTTGAAAACATTTCTAATTCTCATCTGAAATGAAGAAGCTTCTTAGATGAGAAGCTAAAGGAAATAACTAAGAAAGTTCAGTCGCCTTTTGGAAAAGTAGCTTTGGGACAACCATGATCTGGATTATTGAAAATCTCCATAGATGACTTCAAGGTCACCTTGAACCACACATTTTCATACTTTTCTGCCTTCTCTAAGCAGTGCATCACTAAAAGGCATAGAGGATAACAAAAGCTTCAAGAGGACCATTTTAAAATCGCTCCAGCATCATGAAATAGTTGTTTCACAGACAAGGTGGAACTCTGTGGATTAACCTGAGTTTCAGAAACATAAGATTGTCACCCTAACCTCATGAGATAGATGGAGAGCTCTGTCTGAAAGACAAATTTGTAGCTAGAAGTTGCCCATGGCTTCTACTTGTGTCCAGGAGTCCGCATATACACCATAACAAACTAAAATTGAGAACCAATATAATAGTGTTATAATTCATGTTGGGTGCAATTCTTCCTCCATCACCTTTTCACTCTGACGAAGATTAGGGAGGTAAATTCGTGGAAGGAACAATGTTGTCCAGAATTTGGCCCATGAGAAATATTACTTTCATTGCAAGATGGCTTCCATAAACAATTGCCAGCAACACAGTTTCCATGTGCTTTAAAAACAGGGATGTGAATCTCCCTAGGAAGACATAAAGTAATAAAATTGTGTCATTAACAACCCATTGCTCAGAAGAAGATAGCTGTGGAAGCCATAGACATTACTGAAATGCATTTGCAAACATAGCTATAACTCCTTTCTCTCCCATGTCATCTTCCACTGCTGGTTTTCTGGAAATCCAACTTTTGGGACATTTTAGAAAGTTAAACATTTCTTATGCTTTGTGAAATGAAGCAAACTTCATGAGGCATTCAGGACGTGAATGCAGCTTTGATGATTAGTTAGGGTGCTAGAAATCTTGAATAATATAAATTTTAGCCATTCAGGAAGGAGATGATTAGCTTACTATCATAAAATACAAGTATTAAGATTTCTCATCACCTCAAATCACAGGTTCAGGTGCCAGCTTCTTCACACTGTTTGATCGGTCGTAATTGCAGAAGAAACCTAACGCTTAGGATAGTCCATTCTGGACTCTTGTATGCTAGGACTGGTATCATACTGGATTCAGAAAGCTTCCGGTACTTCTTCCCCTTCCTCTCACTTTTATGACCCCTTTTTTCTGGAGAGGAATCAGAATTCCAACTCACTTTCATATCAGCTGTAGAGCTTAGAAACATGCTAGGCAAACCTGTGATGGCCATTCTTAGAGGTAAACAGTGAGAAAACAACTTAAGCAGGCTGGAATAAAGTTTGTGATTGCCATCTTTCATATAACAGACACTGAATCACTTCCAAGTTGTACTTTACATCTAAAGGTGTATCTCGCCCTTCCCAAACATGATGCCCTTCAGATGTACTGTTCCTATGTCTCTCAAAAATTATTGATAATGTTGGTCATCAGTTCTGAAAATTGTAGACCTCGTACATCTGGATGACACAAGTGGATGAAGGGCAGTCTGTGGGATTACATAAAGTGGCAGGCCCTTTTTCTTAATGGTAATTGTAGCTTAAGAACAATCCTGTTTCAGCTTAAGCAAATTCATATATAAAATCCTGACCGCTTCGTGAGCAGAGTGAATTGCTGTTATATGGCATCCATGTAACACACAGTATATGCTGCATATACTGCGTGCGTAGGTTGATTTAATTCTACATAAATTAATTCCAAGCTTCCACGAAATTGCAGTGATTTGATATAACTTTTATAAATTGTCCTTTTAAAACTCCAATAAAACAAACCTTTGCTTATACCTTTTAACCCTGTAGTATTAATTACCTCTTTTCTGCTTTCCTTGTCACTGACTATTTTTTTAAATCTTGCATTAAAAAACCTTCGCAAAAATAATGTCACATTTAAAAGAAAACCTAAAGTAGCTCTCTAATAAAAACAATGTAAAATTAATTTATTTCTAGCACGTAGCACGCCACCAGTCCCAACTAATGCCTGATTGCCTATTTAAATTTCCTCCCTGTTTTTCTACTGTTTATTCAATCTTGGATGATCCTGGCAGGGGAAAGAGGTATGTCACTCAACTGAATGAACTGAGTCACCTCCTGTCATATTTTGTGCATGCCCTCTCAGTGCCATGTTTCCTAATGGGACCTTCCCTGGGTAATCCTTGCTTTGTAACTTTGGATTCAAGGAATGTAACAGCAACTTCAGTTTCAATTGCTTGTGGAACTGTAGCCCTACATCGCAGGACGACGTAGGGGAGATTCTCCAGCCCTGCATGTAGCAATGGGTATACTTTTACAAGCACTGCAGTTACATCCCAACACCTGTCTTACCTGCCTGGGCTCTTTCCTCAGCCTGTTGTTTACCCCTTGTTGCTCAGCACACACACCTGATTTATAATTCACCCTGCTGGTAATATCTATGAATGAGAAAGAAGTAGCTAGGAGTATAGCACTTTACCCTCTGGTGGTGTTTTTTTTTCATTGTGTGTATTGTTTTAGTATATACGATATGTATATATGGAGAGAGATTATATAGGATCAAGGAGAGGAAGGGGTCAAGCTATTTTCCAAGGCACCTGAAGGCCAGACAAGGAGTAATGGATGGAAACTGGTCCAGGAGAGAGTCAACCTAGAAATAAGGAGAAATTTTCTGACAGTGAGAGCTATCAGTGGAAGAGAAGTTGTCTTTGGAAGTTGTGGGAGCTTCATCACTGGAGGCTTTCAAGAAGAGATTGGACTGCCATTTGTCAGAAATGGTGCAGGATCTCCAGCTTGGGTGATGAGGTTGGACTAGATGACCTGCAAGGTCCCTTCCAACTCTGTTAATCAAAGCTAATCTGTTCTCAGATGGCTGAGGGTGGAAAATAGCTGTGTAACTCAGAAAGGGAATTTTTCTTGGAATGGAAATGGGATATTTAAGGGAAACCATGTTGTTTCCAACTGCACAAACACTTTGGTATGAACCGTCTTGTGTTAAGGTAAGGAAGGTCTTATTCTGTCATTATTCTTTTGGAAAGAAAGCAGAAGTCAAGTGGTGATGACTTCAAAGCACACATTCCATGGCTAATGGCCATGAGACCTAAAATGCAGATTCCCAACTGCTGCAAGAAAGAATCTTAACAAAGGAAATTCCTGCCATCTCCAATACATTCACACAACCTCATTTGCAGTAACATTATCTGAAAAGCTTAGGAGAGACTCCTGGGGGGTCAGTAATCTTCTGATAGGAAACAAACATGCTTGAGAAATAAACCCCAGTTCATTTTATGTTCCAAGACTGATGGGTAAAATAACCAAACATTGTAGGAGGAGGAAAGTCACTCATTTGGTACCTTTCAAGACATCTCAGTGTGTTTATTTATCAGTCATTCTCAGACCTTAAAAGACCTTCCACAAAATGATTTTCCAGTTGAAAGGCTAAAATTATTATTACTGGGAATATACAGGCAGCAGGCACATTATCTAAAATTGCCTTAGAGCATTTGGAACCGCATTCAAAGAGAAGTAAACGGGGAAGAGGCCATCCAAAAAACATTATCGGGGGAAAAAAGTTATCTTAAGCTAGTTTAAAGTAAGTTTGTTAAAAAAAAAAAACAAGCATTACCAGGGAACAATTAAGAAGCTGCTTAGTATGCATGTCTATGGCAAACAAAGATGTATGAAATTAATTCCAAAAAAGCCTGAGTCATAAAAACACTTCATAAAAATCTGCTTTTTAAAAAAATCCCTAATGAGTCTGTAGGACATGCTACAATCTAAGCAGTTTTCAATAATATAATAGATATCCTTTTAACTCTATACCATTTGTCTTTTCTTCTTCTTCTTTCTTTTCAAAATGGGAAAAGGGATCTATTTTGCAAATTATATACAGGGACCCTTAAAATCTTTATTTACTGCAGGCTTTTGAAATTATCATTCTCTCTCCATATGTATATATGTATGAATATGTATATATGTATTTATCTCTTGAAAACTTGCATATATACATGAATTTTCATGGGTATGGTCAAATAAATCATAGATTTTGTGATGTAGGATTTGCATTTCCTTTGTATGTTTATTATAAAGAAGATAAGTAGAAGCAAAGTAAATTTTATTATTGGGGAATGGTATTCTTGAATAGCAATGTTATTTTTCTCATTTTCAGAAAGAGATTTCAGGATGATAGGTCGGACCTGAAAAAGCTGATGTATTATTAGATGCAAATTCAGTGCTACTTACAAAATTTAAAAAACAAAAATGTTTTTATAGAAATGACCATCTGAATTTCTTTGAATTTCAAAAGCATTGGCTCTTTTTCTTACTTATGAAAACAGGATGTAATGGTTGAATTCTCGATTCATTGTCTCAGAAAAGATTTTGAGCAGCATAAAGTTATTACACTGTGAGTTGTTGTGATCTAGAATCCACAGCTAATGTTAAAGGATTTAAAAAGTTAATCTTTTGATGCCACAATCTTGTTTTGATATAACAGTTAACATTATAGAAGTGGTTCGTGTTGTCTCAAAATGCCAATTCAATTACATTGCTGTTCCACTAGACTGAATTTATAAAGGTGGGATTATTAATAATCTTTGTCTGTAACATTAGTTGGAGAAAATGTAGAATTCTTTAGATTGAATCTCTAGAAGTCTCATGAGAGTCTAATATTGGCTATTATGGAAACAAGCTTCCTAGACAAAATAAAACTGTCCAATAGCCATTTCCCCCTCATTTCTTATGGAATTGATACAGCTTTCAATAGTATAGAACTTTTTCTTCTTCAAATCTAGACCCATATAAGAACCATTCGTTGGAATGTACAAAGATTACATTATAAAAAGCAGGAAAGTAATTCTACTGACATTGGTCGTGTTGGCATAGTTCCTAAAAGTTAATATTGTCATTAAAATGTATACATTATAGCAGGGGTTTTAAACTCTCGTCGTCACAGTGTCATCACATGACATATTGTGACTTTTTCCCCTTTGCTAAACTGGGCGTGGGCATGGCCATTGCGTGATGCATCCAGCCCACGGGCCGCGAGTTTGACAGAATTGTAAGAATTGACAGAATTATTGTAGAATTCCCTATCATATATACATTTTATCACATTAGTATCAACCTTTAGGAGCTATATCAATGTTACCAGACTTACTTTCCCTACTTTTAGGAAATTTTAACACTAGATATACCAGAAGTCTGGAGAGAATCTATGCAACTTGATGGCACTTAATCAATTATACTAAAATTGTTCATATTTTTTATTGATATCTACAGCATTCGCTAGTGAAAACAGAAGAACCAAAAGCAATATTTAAATAAAGATGTATGATATATGATGTATCAGTTCATTGCTTCAAATACTTCATTGCCTCTGTTTCTCAAAATATGGTATTGGTAATGAAGATCATCCATATTATAATTACTTCTTGAATAAAGTTCTTAAGTTACCTAAATATTAATGGTTTAATAGAAGAAAGTTACTGGACAAGGAATTGTTCTACAAAAGACTGTTGATGTATTTAT